CCAGATAAAATTTCAAACCGAGTTAATGGATAAAAATTGCAACGGGCGCGTGAATTTGAAACAATTTCTAATCACACGCCTGGTGACGTATTTCTAGGGAAACCAAGCTGTCAAATTGCGCTTTTTCAGGCGCCGTTTCAGGGGATCGTATCATCATGACACCAAATTCCTTCTCTCTCTTGGAAATGGTATATAAGGGTTTCTCACACCCTGTGTACCTTTTTACCACTTTCCAACTTACTCAAGAATACAAGAGACGATTTTCTACTGTTCATCTTCTTCTTCTTCATCACTGCAATAATGGCAGAATCATCATCAGTTCATAAACAAATCGCTTCCACTTATCTTCTGACCAATCAACAAGAGTATGGTATTATCATTGATCACATCAAGCGGATGTTGGTGTGTTACCTTCTTGAAGTCGCAAAGATGGATCAGGAGGCCGCCTCTGCCATAAGAAAGAAACCCATTATAAAGCCAATTGGGAAGGCAAGCGACATGTCTGTGATGATAAAAGGAAAATTTGATCCACAATTTTGTTCACCAGAGGCGAAGGTCAAAGATGCTTGTTCGCTCTTACTGATAAACACTTGTTCTCCACCGCGTGCTTATAGCACATTCTTGAAATTATATACAGGTGTGATCAGAACAGTGATGCAGACAAGAAGTTGTTTTTGGACATGCTTCGGTGGTATATTCATTTTTGTCAAACTCTGCTTGCTATTATACCGAAGCTGTTCAAGACTGTGAATTCATCTCCAATCACTCAATTGAAGTGATCTCTCGCCTCAATTGGCGTAAAGGGGGAGATTGTTGAGTTTAAGGGATTGCGCAATTGGGCCATAGTAGTTCGGTCCTTTTGTACTCACGATTTGGGCCTATCCAACCGTGTTTAGTTTTAGGGTTTATATATATATATATATATATATATATATATATATATATATATATGTATATAGTGCATACATGCATTATGTTGATTACGTTTTTTGATAATCATTTTGGAAATTAAGGATTGTATGATGGGTTTTGTACATAAGAACATTCCTAAGTGCGCATACAAACCCTCATGCTTGGATCTAGGTTTCTCTATTAAACATACTTTGAATCCAAGGCTTCTAATGACTTATTAGGTGTAAGAACAACACAAAATCAGATCTAGAAACATACCTTTGATTCTCTTGTTTGATCTTGTTGTCTTGGAGCTCTAGAGTCACAATTGTCACTCCTCTAATGGCTTACAAACACCAACTAGCAAAGAGGATGATTTGAGAGAGAGGAGAGGGGATGGAATTCGACCAGAGTATCCTTACTTTAGAAGATGTGTCGAATTCCTTCAACCATAGGGTCTATTTATACTTGTAGACTCCTTAAAGGTTACAGCTTAAACCCTAGTTGGATAATCATCTCTTAGAGTCATCCAAATCCTTACCAAAGATAGCCTTGGACAAATTTAGGGCTTATCCTAGCCTAGAATTCGTCCAACCCTTTATCCAATAAGGATTTACAGTCTAAAGTTTAACTATCAAGTAATTGACAGTTTATACTATCTTATTTAATTAATCTCCTTAAGTCACCAAATTAATACTAATTAATCTATGACTTATATTAATCAAATAACTATATTATTATTCCTTATATTATTCTCATAATATATTAATAATATCTATTCTCTCATAATAAATCATCCTACCAAGTTGCTATGGTGAAGGCAACCCAAAAGGACCATGCACAATCGAGTCAAATACTTGCCTAACATAGTTGCAGCCTTAGACACTATTCCAACATTGTAACCCTAGCATACCTTTACAGTAGCAATTCTCGTTGAATTTTTCTGAGGTGGAGCATATTATTCGTTCGACATTCGTTTGATTCATTGTGGTGTTCATTGTCTTGGGTCAATTATTATTTATATATGTTTGAATCTATCGATCTCTTAGAATTTATTTCTCATAAGATAATCGTATGACGAAGGAAAAATGTATATTAATCTATGGCAAGCAAACAACTAAAACCTACAAGGATCTTTAACGTAAATAATACGAGCAACTACAAGAGAGATCAAGAAATACTAACCTTTAGAAAAACCAATTTGCTCGAAAAACCTATGATGATGAATTTGAAATCTCCAAGCCAAGGAAAAGTAACCAAAGTATATTACCTTTAATGGTTCACACCTAATAATTCCAAACTAATAGATGTAAGAATAGTAACCCATAGAACAATAGAGATTGATTAAGGAAAACAAAAGAGAAGAGAAACTATCAGCCTGTCTTGCAGAAGAGAGTGAGAAAAAGTTATAGGTGCAAGGGAATGATATTTACAGCTTCTAGTTACTTGACAAAAAAAGTTAATATGAATTGGTAACCATATAAAGATAATAATTAAGTAATTCAATTTATCTATAATTCAAATCCTTTTCCTTGTAAAGCCTTGAACGAAAATTCCAAGGGTTATCCTTGCTAACTTTTGTCCCTTACATAAAGGGATCCAAAACATTCCGTTATTCAACTACCGAATAATTAATATTTAGTCTCTGCACCTTGAATTAATTCCAAACTAGGTTCTAATTAATTTGTTATCTCATGAATAATTAATAAACTATATATATATATATATATATATATATATATATATATATATATATATATATATATATATATATATATATATATATATATACTAATTGGATCATTGAGGGCACTCCAAAAAAAGACATTGATATTAATGTATTTTGGGTCCATAAGTTTGGAGGGAACCGAAACTAGTCATGGATGATTCATATAAATTCAAGTACATCATTCATCGAGGAGTACAAAGGCATACCGAGATTTAAGAAGACAATATTAGTAGCCGAAAATGAAACAAAATTTAATAAAATATGTCTCCAAGTTTGTACATTGTACACAAGTACAATCCAAACATTAAGTACCATAAGCACATGCTCAACCATTACACGTATTGGTCGAGAATTTGGACGAATTTACAATGGACTTTATTGTTGGGCCACTCAAAACTAGTAAGGATTACAATGATATTCAAGTTATCATGGACCGGTTGAAAGATGTGTTATTTTCTTGAAAATTTAAGAGTTAAAACCACTTTAAAGATTAGGCAAATTATATGTTGAGGAAATGTGTCCGTTAGATATGTTAGATTTACTTCGAGATTTAAGAGAACATTATAAGAAAAGATAAGGGCAAGGATTTATTTAAGCACAACAAATCATCCTTAAACAAATGTTCAAAGTGAAAGAACGAATCAAAATCTTGAATATATGCTTAGAGCATGTGTTATAGACTTTGATGGTAAATGGGATAAACATTGTTCGTGGTTGAATTTGCTTATAATAATGGTTATCATTCAAACATTAGAAGACCACCTTACGAAGCTTTATATAAGAGGAAATGTAGAATGTCATTATGTTGGTTAAAAACCGGAGAAAAGAAGCTTCCAAAAATGAAAATAGTGAGATTGACAAATGAGAAGATAGAAACACTCCAAGAAAAAATGAAAGCACCTCAAGACCGAAAAAGAAGTTACTCAAATTTGAATAAAAATGATTTGAGTATAAGCTTTCAAGTATAAGCTTTCAAGAGCAAAAACGTTGAGAAATAAGGACAAACTTATGTTGGTTCAATCGAAATACTCTTATGGACCAATCCGTACTTAGGAAAAAAAGAAAGACATGATGAAGCGTTACCTCGATTTTGTGGATTATGATACGATTCTAAGGATAAAATCCTCTTAAGGGGCAAGTATTTGTATCATCCTTAATTTTGAATATTTACGATGTTAATATAAATAAATAAAAAAACTTATACTTGATAAATTAGTTATGTAAAGTTTGATATTGCAGATGACATGAATGGGGGAAATTTGGTCAAGAAATGGAAAAAAGATTTCCAATGGTGATTTTAATGATTTTTATGTATGATAATTTTGTATATGTACTGTTTCATGAAACAATATGGATATAAGGTGTATAAGTGTCCTACATGTGAAAGTATTGAAGTACTTACATAGTTGCTTCCAATTGTTGAAGAACTAAAAACTATTATTAAACCAAGAACAAAAATGTTGAGAAATAATGAGACTAAATTTATGTTGGTTTAATGGAAACATTCTTATAGACCAAAACGTACTCGGAAGAAAAGCAAGACATGACAAAGCGTTACCTCGATTTGTGGATTATAATACATTCCTAATTCAAAATTTCATAACTCTTAAGGTAATTGACACCAAAAAAATCATTTATACCTAGCTCGCACAATTACCGTGTCAATTTTTTTTTATAGATAGTATGTTAACGGACCTTGTCAATTCTAGTGCAATTAGACCTCATGATGTTCAATTTGATTAGAACTGTTAATATTACTTCAAACTCTCGGACAATATATTGAGAAAGATTCTATTTATGTTTTCAGAATAGTCAAAATATTTGATTCTTAACAACAAGCACGACAGGGCATAATAAATCAATTGTAAAAAGTTTGGTTAGCATTTACTCAAATGTTGTTCGAAGATTTATATTTTAAAAGTGAGAATTACTAAAAATACATGTCGTAAAGTTTATACATCGATGGTCAATTAGACACCCATCGACAATGATGATTAGTTTGGTCAACACTTCTTCGGTCATAAATAGAGCAATGCTTTAAGCGTGAATTATAACATCCTGCTTTACTTTTATGAAATCCACATTCTTACTCTCAATGTTTTTATTTATAACATGCTTTATTGTTTTCATTTTTTTTTATAGCAATGTACTTTTTTTTTTCATTTTTTTATACCAAGGTACTTTCACTTTTTAAATAAAATCTGAACATTATGGTTAACAAATATTAACGTATCAAAACCATTAACCATAACCATTACTAACCATACAAAATGGCTACCAATGCATTACACCCCTAGGCATGATGTCATTACATAAGTACATGATCAAAACCATGATGGGCTAGGGTCTTGTGTATGAGCTAATAATATTTGTATGAGATATGACTCGTGACATAACAAAATGTCTTAGGGAGGACAGAGTCGAGGTTGGGTTCGCCGTCGGTTTAGGGCGGTACCGCCGGGTCATGACCCTTTCAATGGCGGGTTCCAACAGTTTAGGGATGTGGGAGCTATTGTGCGGGTTGTTGAACCCGCTTCAACCTTTACTCCTCATGTATCGACGGCTTGAAAATGAGATAGGACGTATGTCGCAACCTTTACCTTCACTGGATTCATCGTCGATTGCTCCGACCTTATGAAAGAGTTCTCCAAATCTCTTTTGAGCTTCCGATTGAAAATGACAAAAAAAAAAAGTAAGAGAGCCTTCATCCCAAGTCTTGGAGCATTTGTTTTTCTAGGCCATTATCCTTAATAGCATTTTTTGTGAAAATAAGGGTATCATCACAAATGTTAGTGTGGATCAAATAGTTGTAAAGTAGTTTCTTTCGTTTTTCTGTTTTTTGAAATTTCACGAATCACGGGAAATGTTTTTTGGTGTTTGAAATTATTAATTTAAAATAGCTGTTTTTTTAAAAAGTGTTCATAAATTTATCTGGTATTAACATGCATTTTATGAGAACGTATTTGAATTACAATATTACAAACATAATAAATTACTTTGTATGTTTTTAATTATTATGAGAACGTATTTAAATTACAATATTAAAAACATAATAAATTACTTTGTATGTTTTTAGTTATTAAAAATAATAATGTAAAAGTGGATTAAATAAATTTGAAAGATAAGTTTTTATGTTTTCCGAGTTAGAAAATATGAAAGAAAGTATGAGAAAAAAAAAAGCATGGGTTGAATGGGTGGGTTGGGCTCCTTTTAGGACAATTATATAAATGTCACTTGTACTAAATTCAGATTACATTGACAACGATGTTAGTATCTTGTGGCGTAGACACACACACCCAAAATATGAATAAAACTATTGTTTCAATTTTGATGTCATGGCATTGTCACATTATTAGTAACAACCATATAAACAAGTTACAATTACCCAAATTACCTTGATATTACGTAAAACGTAAATTAACTTACGTGCAAAAAATATAAAACTTTTAAATATTATTTTTAACAAAATAAGAGACATTTTACTAAAAATCATATTATGCTTCAAGTAACTTAATCCTTTATTTGATTAAGAATTTAAAACATAGATCGTCAAACACTGAATATATATGTTTATTACAAGAAATATTACTCGTATTATTTTCCACGAAAATGGTACTACATTCGTTGCGATATGTACAATACTTTATGCGAAAGGTACAACATGTAGTGAACAAGATACGTATCGAGTAATTTATTAATAGCAAGCAAATTACTAACAAAGAAAACTTGGACGGAGATCCCATTTTTCTAACCGGGCTGTCAGCGTATTAAAGAACCCCCACGAAATTCAGATCCAGAACTTGCACAAGTTAGGGCTTAGCCGTACAAAAATCAAACAACTTTCCTGCCAAATTCCATACAAATTCACATTCAAGTCGATCGGCGACCGGTGTCTTCTCCGTCGTGATCTCCGATTAGGTCGGTTTCCTGCATCTCGTTACATCATTACACATCTGTCTCATACGTATTGATGTATACAATATTCGCAATCGTGTACAGCTATATATTTTTGAATTTACATATTGCCAAAACCCTAGCGTATACTCTACTTCAGTAAATGTTGCTAATATGTGTTGGATCATGAGATCGAATCCAAGTTATGGTGACTGGTAAAGCTGTTTTGAAGTATAATTACTCAAATAGCTCGCCATTTTTGAGGAAGATAAACAGAATTAGAATTCACATTATGAATATTGTTATATTAAGTTGGTACCAATAATGCACGGTTCTTAGTAGATCTCTTCGTATGATGTGGATATAATTAAGGTGTGATTAAGAATCCGGTTGAAATTTGGAACAAATGGATCTGATCTATGCTGATAATACTACCCAAAGTTTCATTAAACTGTTGCTGAAGAAAAATATGTGGGATGTTTGAATTATGTGATCTCAATTTACTTACTAATCATGAAAGGTTCCTAGGGAATCTTTCTGTATGATCTACATATAATATGAATATGTTCACGAGTCCAATTCCATTGCTTGCATTTGGATTTGAAATTTGAACCAAATAACACAATTCCAATTTCAAACCCCAGATCTGTGCTGAAAGTACTGCCTAATGGACCTCCATGAAAGCTAAAATAACAACTTGTTGTTTTAGCTTGCTGATATTTGATAAGACAATGCTAGCTGTAAATATTATTATAGATCAGTATATTTTATTGATTTAAGTTAACATTCCATCTATATGTTTAGAGAGCTATACTGAAGACAATTTACCGTTCACGTTTCAGATAAATTCTTGGTGAGGCAATGAATTTTTTGGGGCTGCGGTCCCAACAGACTGCAGCTCAAGTGCCACAACCTCTACCACCACAACCTCTACCACCACAAGCTCAAGTAGAACCAAACAATAAAAAGCCAACTACAACATTAGAGGATCTTGTGGCTGAAGATCCATTCCCTTTTGTATCTTTGTCTGATAAGTTTGATGGAAGAAGTGAAGGAAGTGGAAGTGAAAATGGTGCATTTGGGGGATTAAGTACAAAGAATGGAGCACCTGTTGTGGATAAACACATAGATGTTTGTGAAAAAGAAGGATGGATCACCATTCCACGCAGTACTTCCTCATCATTCTCTTACTACATTTTATTTTACATGATGACATAGTTTTTCTTATATGCATGCACATGTATGCATCTTTTAAATGCACCATATACTGATTTATAATCGATTAATTGGTGCTCATCACTTCTGCAGAGGAACTTCCTGATAGTTGGAATGAAGAACCAGATATGCTATCTTTTAAAGCTTTTGATCGCCCCTTTGTTTTCCCAGGTACCCATTCTTTATTAAATCACTTCTTTGATTTAGTTTTAGACATAGAGCTATAGAGGTCAATCTTTTTATCTGCAAAGGGAATTTTTTCCCTGTAATTTGTCATTTCAATCAATGAGAATTACATTCCCCTGAATATAACTGCTCTAACTTTCTTATCCATATAAAATACTACATTTTTTCTTATTTACAGGAGAACAGGTTCATATACTAGCATGCTTATCTGCATATAAACAAGACACAGAAATCATTACACCCTTCAAGGTTGCTGAAGTAATGAGTAAAAATGGCATTGGCCCAAATGCCAAAAAGCAAAATGGTGAGGTCAATGGGTCCCCTGTTTCTGCAGTTACAAGTCCTGATGCACATGGTACAACTCAAAATGCTAATGACATTTTGGATGAAAAGACTGACCCAAAAAAGGATCTTTCCACTGGTGAATCTCTTCTCAGAATGCAAGATCACAGAAGACAAACCGAAATGATTCTGCAGAGATTTAGGAATTCCCATTTTTTTGCTCGAACTGCTGAGTCAGATGAGCCACTTTGGTCAAAAAGAAAAGCACAGGAAACGTTTAGAGAATCAACAGAAATGATTGGAGGGAAGTTTACTACATATGATGTGGATTCCAACAAGGGTTCTGATAAGAAAGCCCTTTTGAATACTTCAGTTGATAGAGGAAGTCTTGATGGAAGTACTTCTGGTGGAGTTGCAAGAAATGGATTTAAATGTAGCTCATTGGCTAATGGAGATATAGTGGTATGTTTCTGAAATGAGGTGCATGACTTCTTTATTATAATTATCTCATTGTTTCGTGTTTGGTATGATGGAATCGGAGAAGGAATGGAATGCTAACATTCCATTCCTTTCCTTTGCTATTCCATTCCTTTCCATTCATCCAAACGAAGGATGCAATCAGCCAATCATTACTGATTTGCATTCCATTTTCTTGTTTGGAAGGATGCAGGTGCTTTTACAGGTAAACATTGGTGTAGACTGTTTAAAAGATCCAGTTTTAGAAATCATTCAATTTGAAAAATACCAAGAGAGCACTCTAAATCACACAACTACAGAATCCCTAATTCCCTCAAATCAAGATCCATGTGGAGATTTATTAAAATGGTTACTGCCTTTAGAAAATTCCATTCCCTCTCCATCTCCTTCATTAACTCCCCCTCAAATGAACTCTTCAAGCATCCGTACCTCATCAACAAAAGTCAACCCTTCCGCGACATCAGCATCCCCTATTTTCTCATTTGGACACTTCAGAAGCTATTCCATGTCAGCAATTCCTCCTAGTGCTGTTCCTGTCTCACCCTCTAGCTCTATGTCAAGCATTGACTTAGAAGACCAGGATCAGTTCTCAAGTAGAAAGTCAAAGGATGAGAAAAGTGAAGGTGAAGGACTTTTATCTTTCCGGGGTGTACCCCTGGAGCCTGAAAGGTTTTCTGTTCGTTGTGGATTAGAAGGGATTTATATTCCAGGGAGAAGGTGGAGGAGAAAAGTGGAAATTATCCAACCTGTTGAGATCTCTTCTTTTTCTGCTGATTGTAATACAGAAGACCTTCTTTGTGTTCAGATAAAGGTCCAACCTTTCTTCCCTAGTTCTATTGGGCCCCATTTTCTATTAATACTAATGTCTTCATTTTTTTTTTTAGAATGTTTGTCCTGCACATGTGCCAGATATTGTAATATATTTGGATACAATAACAATTATACATGAAGAGGCTTCCAAAGGTGGACCTCCTTTATCTTTACCAATTGCATGTATTGAAGCAGGAAATGATCACAGCTTGCCAGATTTAGCCCTCAGGTCAATAACATAGTTTTAAAGATATCAAAGTTAGTTTTGCATTCTAAAATAGTTGTTTTTCATAACAGGAGAGGAGAAGAACATTCCTTCATTCTAAAACCTGCAACTTCATTATGGAGGAACAGTAAAAGTCAAAGTGATAGGAATCTTCGGTCAACACAATCACATTTTGGACAAGCAACATCAAGTGGTCATGTAGAACGTGGTGATAAGTATGCAGTTTTAGTATCATGTCGCTGCAATTATACTGGTAATCATGTGTTATGCCCACTATTTCTTGTGTTTTTATATTATTTAAAGACAAAATTTCATAATTGGTCCCTGTGGTTTGCAAAATATTGCACTTTGAGGACTTCTATGAAAAACGTCACACCGCTGGTCCTTATGGTCTCAAAAATTGCATGAATGGTCCTTCTGGTGTTAGCTTTAACTTTTGAGTTGTTAGTTTTTTTCTAAATGACCAAAATGCCCTTGGACCAAATCTAAAACTTGTGTATGCTTTAAGGATCAATTATGAAAATTTGAAATTTTCTATATATATTAATTTTATATATAAGCTTGAACTATATATATTTAAAATTTTCATAATTGATCCTTGAGGTATGCACAATTTTTAGATGTGGTCCAAAGGGCATTTTGGCCATTTAGAAAAAAACAAACTACTCAAAAGTTAAAGTTAACACCAGAAGGACCATTTATGCAATTTTTGAAACAATAGGGACCAACTTCGTGACGTTTTTCATATAAGTCCTCAAAGTGCGATATTTTGCAAACCACAGGGACCGATTATGAAATTTTGTGTTATTAAAAATCAATAACTGACACATAGTTTGGATGCAGAATCTAGGTTGTTCTTCAAACAACCAACAAGTTGGCGGCCACGTATGTCAAGGGATCTGTTGATCTCAGTTGCATCTCAAATGTCAAGGCCAAATCTTGGTTCAGATGAACGAGTTCTTCAATTACCTGTGCAGGTTTCAATCTAAAAAAAAACATAGTTCATGATTATTATAATAATAATGGCTAATTCATGTTATATGAAAACTGATTTATTTATGTTATGGTTTTACAGGTTTTGACACTGCAAGCTTCAAACCTGACATCTGAAGATCTGACACTAACAGTGCTTGCTCCAGCCTCCTTTACTTCTCTCCCATCTGTTGTCTCCTTAACTTCAGCACCCGCAACACCATTAAGCCCAGAAGAAAAGTCAACAAAAGTCAACGTTGACAGACACAATATTGCGATGAAGAGACTCAGCTCAGCTTTAATAGAAAATCAAAGACGCAATGATGAAATTGGGCGTCAAACTGGCATTGGAGCTTTCTCTTTCAATGAGCAACCAATTTCCATCACTGATGTGCTTCCAAGAAGTGATTTGGGATGCACACATCTGTGGTTGCAAAGTCGAGTTCCATTAGGGTAATCATAATAATAAATACTACTACTACTACTACTACTTTTTTTTTCTTTTCCTCATGGTTTTTAGTTGATTAGAGATTTATTTATTTTGATTGAACACAGGTGTGTTCCTTCCAAGTCTACAGCTACTATTAAGCTTGAGCTACTTCCACTTACAGACGGGATTATTACCTTGGATTCTTTACAGATTAGCGTTAAGGAGAAAGGTATGCCATGTCATCATCCTATATTATATAATATTCCTGCTTGTAATTAATCTAAAATCTAAAACATGATAGTGAGAAAGTTTGTTAATTTTTGGAAAATGACAATATAGGTGTAACGTATATCCCGGAGCATTCCCTCAAGATAAATGCAACATCCAGCATAAGTGCTGGAATCCTCTAAGTCTCGGAACACAATTCATATATACTCCAGTTCCAATCCGGATGGATGTGAAGATCATTACATGCTACTCTCAATATATATGTATCTGTGATTGAAATGTAGTGTCTATTTTTGTTTAAGGATGAGTTTATAAAAAGTTGTTTTTTTTTTTTTTAAAATGTATGTGTTGACGGAAACAGAAAAAAAAAACCCTCAATTGGTGTGTGGAATCCAAAGAAATACCTGTACATTTGTGTTTCGGAAAATGTTTGTTGGACAAATTTTTATATATTTTTACTGTGTTCAACATTGGAACAGATAATTCATAGGCTGGATATGAACTTGTTCTCACTCTTTTATTTGTGTAAAAGACGTTGATGTCGTTATCTATTCGTGTGTTCATGTTGATAAGACAAAATTAAACAAAAAATCGCCTTATGTTGTCATTCGTCTTTTTTTGCAAGTTGTGATTGGAGATAAAAGGGTCCACACAAGCGTTATGCAATATGTCAAAAAGTTGAAATAGGCGATGGGTTATCTTCAAGAAGACATCACTAGTTATGTCATACTGACTATTTAAAATAATAACCTAGTTTTATAATGAAATGATTTAGATAATAGTATTCCAACTTAATTTAATAAATTTTCAACGAGTTTAACATATTTTAGTTTAGCTATGTAAAACTTTACTTGTTAAAAATATAATCAAAATTTAAATAGAAAGTGTATTTCTATTAAAATGAAAAACAAAAAATGCGTTGTCATAAGGGGTGAAAATCAGAAATTATGTTGCTATAAAAAACAAAAAGATGAAATTTTTTTGTTGTTTGTTAAATATCTGAGAATAAGTCCCGATATGTTGCGAGTTTGTGTACCTATCTTATATTCTATTCAATTTCAATTCCTTATTTAATTACTATAATTACGTAATAACATATATAGGTTCAATTATGTATAAGGCGTTTTACAAAAATATCGAAACCAAACCATTTGCATTCGATTATTGAAAATAATAAACCACACCAACGTTTTTAGCAATGATATAATAGATCGGTTATATGAATTAATTTGATTACGCTTTGGTTTTTCAATTTTAATGTTCATTGCTATATTTTGCAGATACGACCTAAGAAATTAATAGTTATGTTTAGAAAACCTTAGGGTGCGTTTAGTTGCGGAAAAATGAACCGTTTTCCGGAAAAATTTTCCAAGAAAAATGAGAATTTTGAAAACGCGTTTAGTTCGTCTATTTTTCTAAATTTTTCACGGAAAATGAAATTTTTCCGTTTTCTAAAATTACAAACAAGTTGGAAAATTTTGGAAAACTGATAATCATTGTTTTCCATATTTTTCTAATTCCAAAATTTTTCTATAAACACACACCCACTTCACCTCATCCACTTCTACCTACCCCCACCTTAACACCCCTCACCCACACACACACATACATATCCACCCGCACACACACACCCGCACACACACACACACATCAACCCACAAACACACACACATATACACACACACCAACCCACACACACACACACCAACCCTGACACACACATACATACCCACCCACACACACACCCACCCGCACACACACACACACCAACCCACACACACACACATACATACCCATCCACACACACACACCCACAAACACACACACATACATACCTACCCACATACACCCACCAACATACACATGCACACACCAACCCACACACACACACACACCTACAAACACACACACTTACACATACATACCCACCCCCCCCCCCACACACACACACACATACACATACATACACACCCACCCACACACAAACACACACACACACATCAACCCACAAACACACACACATACATACCCACCCATACACACACACGTACATACCCACACACCCACACCTACCCCCACCCTCACAGACACACACACCCACACACACAAACCTACACCTACCCCCACAAACACACATACACACACAAACACACACTCGCACCCCCACCCATCCAACACCACCACAACAATCACCGACCTACCATCACCACCACCACCACTAACCCGTCACTAGCACCACCACCATCACCACCACTGATAAAATTGACGCCGCCACCACCATCGCCTGTCATCACCACCACCGCCGCCGACCCGCTACCGTCACCGCCCCCACCCACACCCTACTACCACTACCGTTTTTTAAAAATGAAAACCGATATAAAAATAGACATTTAAACACGTTTTCTAATTTTCTAAAACTGAAAATGAAAAATGAATAAGTTTAACTAAACACGTTCTCTAAATTTTTCAATGAAAAATGAAAACGGAAAATGAAAATTGAAAAGGGAAAACAAAAAACGGAAAATGAAAATTGTTTTTCCGTAACTAAACGCAACCTTAGTTTTTTTCCTAAATTTGAAAAATAACTTTAATAAGAGTTAGTTTTGTATTTTGAAACGCCCTATATATTTGCTCCCCTAAATCTCTAACTATAATGATCGAGTAAGTTGACTCTTATTAATGCTTATTATCGTTGAAAGACAATTATAATTCTCATTTTAAAGTGTGTGTATTCATGTAAGATCCTTGAAAATTCTAAATTATCTATTTATTTCTTTATTTATTTACCTGTACTTAAACAATTTTATATAGTCAATCAAAGCCCAACTAATAAAAAATCCAATCCATAAAATAAAGATTATAGAATGCAAAAGCACCATATGATGAATTTGGGATACTACTAATGGTTGATTTCTTAAATAAAATAATTGACAATAATGGAGGTTGAGAATAATTATTTAATTTATATTAAACCAATGATAATATAGATATAAAGTAGGCCATTTTAATATTTATAAATGGGTTAGACTAATTAACTATGAAGTAGGTTTCACTATTTAATCCAAAGGTGTCAGTTCTTGCGTGTATTTGAAGACAACTTTTTTTTATACGTACACACGTATCAAAATTAACAATTTGTCCATTTTTATAGATATTGTAATGTTTGTTTAATTGTTTTAACATATAATTTGAAAACAGGGTCACATACATATGACAATACGATAACAGGTTTTAGGTTAACCTTTACTTTGTTTTTTGTGTACTTCATGACTGTTTACTTTCGTTTATGTTAAAATTATATCATTATAGAATTGATTTGTCCATCAAATTTCACCACAATATAACAAACACAATACAAAATTATTAATGGTTGATGATATAGTTATTAAATAGATGAAAAGTAAAGTATGTTAATATTTCGTGTTAGATAAGCAATATACGAGTTGATTTAAAGTATGTTATTGCTATGTTCATTTAACCCATAAAACATTTTTTAAATAGAGCAAACTGCAAATTTGATCTTTTTGGCTTCTGAAAACATTGGATAAGATGTAAAATGTTTTCAATTTGCACCATTGATACAAAACACAAAACACAAAACACAAAACTTTTGTGGATTTGATGTCACACTTACCAATTGTCAAATTGTCTCGCTATGTTTATTGTGTGCCCTCATGTGAGGGAATTTTTGTCTTTTCACTTCTCTGTTTCTTTTATCTTATTATTTATTTTTCCCTTAAGGCCATTTGAATAATTGAGTGTAGCCTCATTCACAACTAACATCCCTAAGAGATAGTTGTTTGTCTATACCTATCATCATTAATAGAGCTCTTAGACACAAAAAAAACCCTATTCCTAAACCATTTGTTCTTCTTATTTTCTACATGGAATTTCTTAATAATGATGAGAATATTGTCCACCAATCCATCCACTTAACGCTTTGATGTAAGGATGATACATGGTAAGAAACCATGCTTTTAATGAACTACATTTCAGAACTAAAAATCCAACAATAAAAATCTATACTTTGATATTTTCTTGTTTGAAGATGGACATCCCCCCATGTTTAGTATTGAACTCCATCCATGTGGGAAGTTCACAAAATTTTCCGAACTAGACTCAATAATGGAAGTATTAAGTCACATTGTACCCACAATTATTTATTTTTGTTTGCCCATTAGTGACTTAGATTTTGGACTTCGAGCTTCAAGCAACAATGATAATGTGTGTAATCTTGCATAATACTTGAAGGACACCAAAATAATATGGTAATACACAAAGTCTCCCCGGTTCCTTATTAGTCATGGCAAATCCATCTCCTTGGCTATTGAGTCACTTTACCATATTTGTGAATGCTTTGTGTTTGTTATGGAGCCTATGCAACTATTTATGAGGTCTCAAAATGTTGTTTATTAGTGCTTTTCAAGAAGTGTTGCATTTTATGTTTTTTGAATTTTAACATTTGTTTCTCCCACTTCTACTTGTTTCCTATGACAAGAAAAGTCTCTTTAAAAATTCAACCTTACGTACAACAAACACTTTGTGCTTGACCAGGGTATAGAAGTAGTATCATATCGTTCCCCTTAGGGTACCCCACAAAAACACATGTGTTGGTCATGGATACTAGTTTTTTAGATGTCTCATACTTCACGTAAGCTTCATAATCCTAAACCGTCAAGTAAGACAATGTGGGTGCTCACCTATGTTATAACTCATGTGGTGTCTTACTCACCTTCTTGGTTGGAACCATATTGAAAATGCATGCAAAGTCTCTAAGGTATAACCCTAAAAAGATAACGAAAGGGTAGTTATATTCATAATAGATCAAACCTTATCAAGGTTTAATTTCTTAGCTCATAAACACCATTATGTTGTGGTGTTCCAGGTGGGGTGAGTTCTATACAATATCACAAATTCATAAGATAATCTAGGAGATATTGAATCATGTACTTATCACCAAGATTAGATTGAATAGTTTTAGTGTGCTTACCAAGTCGATTCTCTACTTACTTGTGAAAAGATTTGAATGTTTTAGAAGTTTCATGTTTATGTCTAAACATATAGACATAACCATATCTACATAAGTCATTAGTAAATGCAATGAAGTAATTGTATCCATCTTTAATAGTTCTAAAAGGTCCACAAACTTACGTATGTATGAACCCTACTAAGTATTTGGCCATTTCCACCGATACCGAAGAACAAGACCTTTGTTATCTTTTTGAATAAAGAAGATTAATAGTCGTATGACCACTTGATTCCAAAATTCCTTCCGACTAGAGTTTTGTAATGTATTTCTTGTTTATATCTCAAAGATGATAATGCCATAGATAAGTTTGATTCAAGTTATACTTCAACTTGTAGCATTCAAAGTATATAGGGTAATTGCTAATGTTCACCCACATGCTTTTCATTTTGGGTTTAAAAGGTCCTTATTCTATTTTTTAAGTGTTATGGATCCTTACACTTTCAAATAGTGGGTTAAAAGAGGGAATATGACCATTTTTACTGGGTTAATCGATTTCTCATGAGTACATGGATGTCCACGTGTGCAGGC